AGTAAAGAACGCAAAATACAATAATTCGAGACTTATTGAAACACTAGAGAGGTACAAAAGACCGTCGTTCACGTATTATGAGCCAGTTTATCTTTCACAAAAGACAGTAAGACGAAATGTCTTGGCAATATCGTGGCTCAGACCTAAATTTACTTGCCTTTAAAAGATCTCCAAGGTGATTTTAACTGCAGTTAGTTTAAAAGTATTAAAAGCGATAACTTTCAATTGACGTGAAATCCGTTTTACCCATCAGCTGCAATACTATGCCTTTTCGCAAGAGTGTTTTTTTAGGTGTTTAACAAGGTGAGATCTTTGTGTGAATCGTTGCTTGCAGGATTCACAGTGATATGGTCTCTCCCCAGTGTGTGTCCTTATGTGTGCGACAAGAGTACGTTTGGAAGCAAAACGCTGCTTGCAATCGTCACAATTGTACGGTCTCTCGCCAGTGTGTGTCCTGATGTGTGTGACAAGAGTTTTTTTTACAGCAAACCGATGCTTGCAGTAGTCGCACTGGTAAGGTCTCTCCCCAGTATGTGTCCTGATGTGTTCGACAAGAGTTTTTTTTATAGCAAAACGATGCTTGCAGATGTCGCACTGGTAAGGTCTCTCCCCAGTGTGTGTCCTCATGTGTGCGACAAGGTTACATTTGATAGCAAAACAATGCTTGCATATTTCGCATTGGTACGGTTTTCCAACATTATGTACGCTCCGTTCTGCACCATTCTGCTTCGCCTCAGCAGCAGGTGCTTTGGCCTTGCGGGCGTCACTGGCGACGCCGTTGGATGCCAGTTCGCTGCCCGCCAATTGCTGACTGTCCCCTGCGCCGCCCTTCAAGGTCCTGCTGTCGGTGATGTCCTCGGGGTCTTGCTCGCGGCGGCCTTGGAGCGAATAGCACCCAGTGACCACTAGCCTCAGCTGCTTGTCCATGGCACCAGCATTGGGATCATCGCCGTGGTCGACAGCGCCCGTCTCGGCCTTGATCTCCGGATTCTCCTTCCAGTCGACGGACTCTCGTCCTGGTGGTGTAGTACCGGGTCCAGCACCTATCGACAGAAAAAGCCCCGCGTTAGAGCTCAGATGGGCCACCTCCACTAAGCGACCACACCGCCACCGACATGCGCGAGAAGGACTGAGGCATGCCGTTAGCCCAAAGCGAAGATACCGCGAGTAGAAGAAAAAGCGACTAGCACAAGACTTTCAATGCGTGCAGCAGAAGCTGAGACTTGAGACCCAATTTAAAAGGTTTTGCGCGCCACTCGGATTTTTGTTGTTCCAGAGGAAGAGAGCACTCAGCGATCACA